GGTTGCGCGTGGGCCATCTGCCAGCGGCGGCGGCGGCGGTGCTTGCTCCTGCTCCTCCTCCGCACCGCTGTCGTCCGCCGCTCCCACGGTCTCGGCGCCCTCCTCGTCGTCGCTGACGGCGACGGAGTCGCGCCGTGGGGGCAGCAGGGTGTTGGGACTGTGCTCCAGGTTGCCAGGTCCTTCGTTGAAGGTGACGTCGCGGCTGATGACGATGCGCCCGTTGTCCAGGAGGATTTTGTAGCCCTTGGTGTCGGGCGGGTAGCCGATGAGGCGTCCAGGCTCGCTTGTGGGGGCCAGCTTGTTGCGCAGCTGCTTGGGGATGAGCGCGTAGCAGCTGGTGCCGAACATGCGCAGGTGGGAGACATCAGGCTTGGTGCCGGTGAGCAGCTCGATGGGGGTCTTGTCGCAGCCGCTCACAGGCGACCGGTTGCGCAGGTAGTTGGCAGTGGCCAAGGCCTCTGCCCACAGGGACTTGGGCAGGTGGGCATCCTCCAGCATGGGACGAACCTTGTCCAGCAGGGTGCGGTTGAGGCGCTCGGCCGCGCCGTTCTGCTCCGGGCTGTAGCGAACGGTGGTCTCCAGCATGATGCCCTTCGATGCACAGAAGGCCTTCAGCTCTTGGTTGATGTACTCGGAGCCGTTGTCGCAGCGCAGGCGCCGCACGCGGGTGCCGCCTTGAGTCTCCAGCTGGGTGATGGTTGCCTTGACGGCCGCGGCCGTCTCGGACTTGTGTGCCAGGGTGTGCACGGTGGAGGACTTGGTGTAGTCGTCCAGGATGGTCACGAAGTACTTGCTGCCTCCTAGGGAGGTGACAGGCAGCGGGCCGCACACGTCGGTGTGCAGCAGCTCCAACTTGGAGGAGGCGGCGCTGTCGCCGCTCGCCTTGAACGGCGCACGTTGCGCTTTGCCGAGGGCGCAGGGCTCACACGGTGGCCGGCGCCTGCCGCCTTGAAGTCGTTGGCGGTGGTGGCGATGCCGGTGACCATGTCCTTGGTCTGAAGGCGCGCCAGGTTGTCGTAGCCCAGGTGGCCGAAGCGCTGGTGCCAGAGTTGGGGGCTCTCCTTGGAGACGCGCGCCACGTGGGCCTGCTCGGCCCGGCCCGTCAGGGTGTAGACGGAGTCGCCGTGGCAGGGCGCGGTGGCCAGGACCTGGTCGCCCTGCCAGATCTCGCAGGCGTCGGCCATGAACTTGAAGCTCAGGCCACGCCGCGTGGCTTGCCGCACGGAGAGCAGTTGCTCGGCGGCGCCTGGGACGTGCAGCACGTCGCGCAGGATGAAGGGGCCGTTGGGCGTGTGCAGCAGCACGTGCCCGGCAGTGGTGGCTTTGCCAGTGCCGCCGTTGCCAAAGGTGATGGTGATGGCCTCCTTCAGCAGGTAGGGGTCGAGCAGAACAGTGGAGTCGTGAGTAAGGTGGCAAGATGCACCGGTGTCTAGCACCCAGCGTTGCGAGCTGTCACTGCCCTGGCTGGTGCTGCAGCTGCTCCGGCTAATGTTGTGGCTGCGCCGGCTGATCCTGTTCTGGCTGCTCCACCTGGTGTTGAGGACACCCCCCCGTCCGCTGCTGGGTGGCCCCAGGCACGGGGGCCCTGCTGAGGCTGACAGGGCAATGGCAGCGGCAAACCGCTGGTGCGGGCGCTGCTGCTGGCGGCGTGGGCGCTGCTGGTCTGCCCGCCGCTGCTGCTGCTGCTGGCTGCGCTCCTGCGCCAGCTTCCTACACTCAAACTTGTGGTGCCCCAGGATGCCGCAATCAAAGCAGGGGCCCTTGGACTTGCCACCGGGGTGGTTGCTTGGACGGCCCGGCCCGGCGTGGCGGTCCTGAGCGTTGGCCATCAGCGCCTCTTCGCTGGGGCGCTCTGTCTTCTGCTCGCTGTGCTCCACGGTGAGCAGCTTGGGCAGGATGTCATCCAGGCTCAGGTCCCCGTCGGTGGTGGCAGTGATCACGGTGGCCATCGTTGCGTAAGCAGACGGCAGGCCGGACATCACGGACCAGGCGATCTCGGTGTCTGCCACATCCTGGCCGGCAGCGCGCAGCTGGGCCTGGATCTCCTTGGCACGGGACACATACTTGGTCAGGGGCTCGGTGGCGCCCATCTTCAGCTGGCTCAGCTGCATGCGTAGCTGCAGCTTGCGCGCGTTGCTCTTAGCTTGGTAGACTCTCTCCAGCTCCATCCACGCTCGCTTGGCGGTGCCGCAGCGCTCCAGCGTGGACAGGTGGTGCTCCTTCACGTACAGGCCGATGGTGGCCAGTGCCTTCTGGTCAGCTTCATGCTCGACCGTGTCGCTCTCCACAGCGGCCCACAGGCCCTTGGAGATGAGGACGTACTTCATCAGGATTCTCCAGGTGGCATAGTTGTCCACGTCCAGGCACTCAACCACGGGCTTGCTGGCTTCCGCAGCCATGGTGAGGGATGAAGGTACAAAGGGGAAACTTCCTTGGGGTTCAGTTGGTGCAGCGGGGGTTGGGGCCCATAACCTGTTGTGAGAGAAGGGCTTTACACCAGACTGCAGAGGGCAGTCACTGAGGAAGGGCACTAGGAGAGAATGACAAACAAGGCGAAATGCAAGGGATTATATGCATGCATGGGAGAATGGCCAGATGGCGGGTGGCCGCCAGATGTCGCCGCCAGCTGGAGGGTGCTGACAGATGGCATTGGGTCGGGGGAGCTGACCGTTGGGTTTTGCCAGCTGGCGCGGGTGTGGGGCACGTGGCTTTCGGTTTGGCCATCTGGCTTTCGGTCTGGCCGCGTCCCAACGCGGTGGGTGCTGTAGGTGAGCAGGCTGGACAGCTGGCGGGCGCTGGTGCAGCCAGGTGGCCCGCCGTCCAACACAACCAGCTGGTGAGGCTGGCGTTGATGACGAGGGCGTAGAGCTTGCCCAGGACGTGTCCTACAGTAATGCCACGGTAGTTGTTTGGATCAGAAGTATCGCCTTTCTTGTGAATGGGGGTGATGGCGCCCAGCGCCCACTCAGGTGGAAAGCAGCCAGAGCGGAGCACAGCAGTAAACAGGGCGGCCAACACAGGCGTCAGTGTATCCCCGCCAGCCTTGATTAGCACCGCTTTCAACGGCCCAAGGCTGGCATTGCTAGGACTTAACTTCTTCAGCGCAGCCGCCACATCAGCCCCAGTGATGTCGCTGTCCAGCTCGATGTCGGGCGGTGGCGGGGATGCCGTACCGCCCGCTGCCTGCTGCGCCGCGGGAGAAGAGGGGGCGTTGGTGCGGCCGCTGCTGGGCTTGAAGGTGCGCTGGAGCTGGAGGTTGACAAAGTGCCGCAGCCAGGAGGCCGCATCGATGGGGCTGGTGGGGTGCTCTCGCTGCCACCGCTTGTAGAACTTGTTGGGATCCTTGCGCTGCAGCTGTAGCAGGGCTGAGCCTTGCTGCCGCCGCCATGCTCCTGACTTGCGCTTGCGCAGGAGTATGTAGCGGTTGCTGACGATGCGCAGCGCTTCCTTGGCTAAGTGGCTTTGCTGCCCGCTTGCGAGACTGGCCTGCATCTGGTGCCGAATCTGCTGGCGGGCGGCAGCACACTCTGCGTCGAACCATGGTTGGTGGCGCCGGCGGAGCTGGCTGCTGGTGCTGCCGGCTCGCTGCCGAGGGGCGGTGTTGGCGGTTGGGAACACTGCTGCTGCCGCGTTGTATAACACAGCGTGCAGCTGAGAGGCGGCTTGCAGCGGGTCGCTGCTGGCCGTGGCTGCCAGGTGCTGGAGCTGCGCCGCGGTGGCGGGCTGCGGCAGCGCGCTGGCAAATGACGAGAGGCGGTCCGGTATGATCCGGAGTGGGTGGGCGAAGCTGGGCGGGGGCCGTGGCCATCGCTTTCGGGGTCGGCGCGCTGTGCCGCGCTGCGCTGAGAGGGGGCGGCCGGCGGAGCCAGCCTGAGTTCGCGCTGCGCTGCGCTGCGCTGAGAGGGGGCGGTGCACTCGGTACTCTGGGATCTCAGGCAGCACCTGCAGCTCAGCGGCCTGGGAGAGGAGGGAGGGGCTGGCAACAAGGTAGTCAACAAGTGAAGGTGACTGGCCGGAGAAACAGGTGGGACTGCCCAGCATATCCCCATGCACTCTACCGTTAGCAATCAGCAAGCCCGTAATGCTGCAAAGCTGCAGCACGGCTTTCCCCTGCTCGCACACAGCAGCCACGCAGCTGCTGGCGCGGGGCGGGGGAGCAAAAGCAGCATCATGCATTGCACAAGGCACCAAAACTTCCTCAGCTGCCTCATCCAGGGCAGCCTGCAACAATGCCGAGTGGTCAGCAAAGTCGGGCAGGCTGCCCGTGTGGCCAATGAAGTCCCCTGCTAGTAGCACATCAGCCCCGCCAGGCGTGGCCAACGCTTCTGCTACCTGATCCCCCACCAGCGTAGTGTATTCCTCCAGCTCCCGAGAGCTCTTGAGGCCATACTTGCTGCGGTAAGGGGGGAGGTAAACAGCTGCCAGGAACAGGGGCCTTTGCAGGCCGGGGGCTCCGTCGAAGCGGAGTCATAAGTGATAGGGAGATGCTGTGCGCTGGCTGCCAGCCTGCCACAGGCTGACAACAGCGCCAAAGCGCTCATGCACCAGCACGGCAACGCCACCAGAGCGATGCAATGCCCCGCTGCGGCACAGCTGCCACAAGCGGTATCCAGGGATGCAGGGCACAGCACCTTCACCAGCGAGATGGGTTTCCACAATGATGATTATGTCGGCATCCCCATAAGAAGCCAGGAGGGCGGCGACTTTGCCGAAGAAGCCGCCGCCACAGTTCCACAATAGAATCCTGGCTCCTCGCTGGCTCCCGCGCCGTCAGGCGCGAGCGGGGGAAGAGGGGGAGGGGGCGGGGCCGTTGCTGCCGCTGGCCGCCGCCTTCTCATCATCAGCTGACACCGCCAGCTGCTGCTGATCGCCATGCTGGGGTGCAGGCTGGCTCCACCGGTTCTCTGGCACTCCAAGGGATGTGTAATGATGGGACAGGGCAGGTGGCAGCTGTGCTTGTTGTGTGCTGCAGCAAGGCATTGCATCGCTCTGGCGGGTTGCCGTGCACCAGCATGAGCGCGTTGGCGCTGTTGTCAGCCTGCGGCAGGCTGGCGGCCAGCGCACAGCATCTCATTTTAGCTCCCCCCTTACCGCAGCAAGTATGGCCTTTGAGCCGTTCCCACGTTGCGTTGGTGTCCCCATAACCAATCTGTAAGAGCATGTCGCTCAAGAAAAGAAGGCCAGCACAGGCCTGCATGGGTGCTGGTTCACTATTCCCCACCGCCTTGCAGCCCTTGCCACCAGCGTTGGCGGCCCAGTGGGCTCACCAAGCAAGCCTTGGTCCTGACCAACACTGGTGAACCGAAACCATTTTTAATCTATTTGCAAGTTGTAGTGGAGCGGGAAAAGAGGGCAGGCAGAGCATGTGGTAAAGCATCACCGCGACGACAGATGCAGGCGCTGCCGCACCAGCGACTGTTCGGGGGCGGGGATGCCGCGCAGGTTGCTGATGCCATTCACCCGCGCCTCACGCCAATACACGGCTGGCAGGCAGTCCAGGTGGTGCCAGCGCCAGCTGCCCTCACGCTGCGCAGGGCCGCGCCGCCCGTACCCCTGACCCTGCGGCCGCATGCCGATGCGGGTAGTGAACTCGCCGATGCCATGGTTGCAGGCGGAACAGCGCTGGGTGCTGTTCGTTGCAGACACGTCCACACGAAACTCGTGTGCCAGTGGCAGCGCAGCAGCAGCAGGCGCGTGCCGCGGCACGATTGCTGGTGTCCGCCGGCCACGTGTGCCGCCACCTCCCCATGGTGGCACCTCCATGCCAAAGGCGTGGCCACCTCCGCCGCCCCCCAGGGGGTCTAGCAGCGTCAGCGGCGCAGCGCCGAAGCCCAGCCCGCCCCCGCCCCCCATGATGCTGGCCGCAATGGCCGAAAGCAGGCCGCTGCCGTCGCCCAACCGCCCGCCACGACCTGCAAATGATGAGGGCAAAGAGGGGCCTGAAAGTGCAAAAACACTTCTTTCCGTTGGCCACTGAAGCAGCAGTGCCCCGCACAGTGCAGCTGTTCCTGAGCGCTGTTCGAAGTGGGGAGTGCCTAGAGCGACACAGGGGCACACAGCAGACAGCTGGCAAACTCACCATCGCTGTTGCGCCAGGGCGCTGTGAGCTGCGGCGCCAGCTGCTCCTTTTTGTCCTCCCACGACTGCATCTTCTCCTGCCGCGCCTCTTGGTCCTCTGCCGGCAGCTGCGTAAAGGACAGTGGGCATGCGAGGTCCGATGGGGAGGCAAGGTACGGCTGCGGGTGTTAGCGGCATCTAGCAGGCCAGGCCAGTAACCACAACGCACCGCCTTGGCCAGAAGCTCGGTCATGTTGTCCATTGCGTGCTGCCGCACTGGAGCTGCAGTTGACTTCTTCCTGCACCCAAGTAGGCCAACGACTAGCAACACAGAGGTCGCATGTTCTGCATGAAAAAGCATGGAACAGTGCCGCCAGCAGGCTTGAACGCCCCCCCACCCTGCCACCCTGCACACCTGCACGACGGGCAATCCTTACGCCCATTGCCCAGCCACCCAGCCAGGCACTCGCCACAGAACCAGTGGCCGCAGGGGACCATGGCATGTGCCACCACAAGCAGCTCCTGCAGTCAACATGCGGCAACGGAGCGGGGGGGGGGGTCAGCAACCTGCCCTACCGCCAAGGCACCTCTATAAACTTCTGACCGAGCCCAGCTGTATGCCCCATAACTGTGTTTCGGATCCGGGGGTTAGGGAGGTTGGATACAAGGCATCAATCGGGTCAGTGCTGCTTCCGCACTCACTACCAGTGGTACTTGCCTGGCAGATGGGGCACATTATCTCCTGCTGCAGCTTGTCAGACACATCGTTGGAGGGCCCTGCGGCCCCAGCGCCCCCAGAGGCAGCAGCCGCAGCCGTTGCCCCATTGGACCCAGCCCCACTAGAGGCGGACTGCAGATGTGCGTCTGGGCTGGGCTTGGCGCGCTTGGCCCCCTGCTCCTCCTGCGACGCAGCGATTCAAACAGAACTGGTAAGACAAATTGGCAACAGATCCATAACCCACCCCGCATACAGAAACACCCATCCCAACTGTGCCATGCTTGCCTGCTGGGCCATGCCATGGCGGCGTTTGGTTGGGGACGAGACGGAGGCGGCCAGCAGGTCGACATACTCGGGACCCCCGCCCCTGCCATGCTGCTGCTGAAGGGACACTGGTGAATCGAGCGTCAAGTCTACCACCTCCGGCTGGGCTGCAGGTGATGCGCGGCCCTCCTGCGCTGGCAGTGACCCCAAGTGCGGCGGCGCCAAAGCTTGCCGTGACCGTGCCAAAAACGGCGGTACACGTGCTGCAGCTGTAGGCGCCTCCACCGGTGCTGGCATCTGTACAGCGCCGGTGCCCGTCGTGACGTTGCCTCCTTGTGCCAGCTGGCCTGCCACGATCGGCATCCCTGATCCCAGCGCCTGCGTGGGATCATGCGCGACCAGCGCCCCTGGCGGCATCGTAGCCGTCGGCAGCGCAGAGGCCTGCTGCGGTGCCACGCGGGCCTCATACGCCGCCAGCGCTGCCAGCTCCGCGCTCTCTGAACTATCATCCTGCAGCTGCTCTGCTGGTGCTGCTGCAGGTGGCTCATCTGCTGCCACTGGCGGAGGCTGCATCAGAAGGTTTCCAGGGTGACGGCCAGCACCGCCTGCACAGCAGCGCGGGTATTGGCGATGCTGGATGCCCCTCAATCCACCGGGCAGCAGATAAAGATATACACACATGCTGCAATCAAGCAGGGTCAGGATTTAGGCGACTGTGCCCCCCACCCACCTGAAGCTGGAACTAGTTGTGGTGATACAATCACCTCTCCGTGCCGCTGGCCGCTGCCATTGTCTCCACTGCCACTGCCACCGCTACCGCCCGGCGACACCAATCGCGCTGGCCCAGCAGCTGCCTCTGCAGCAGAATGCTGGTGCGCAGTAGGGGCTGCCGGGCTGAACCTGTACATCTCGCGCTCCGCACCGCTGTTGGCTGCTGCGAATCCTGCCAGCGCTGCCGCCTGCGGCGCAGGCAGACACCCTTGGCTGGGTGGCGCATAAGCAGCCAGGAACTCGTGCAGCTTGCGAACACGCCACACCCATGGGTTGGGCAGCGGCTGGCCGCGGATGTTGATTGTGCTGGGCCTACATTTGACAACAAAGCAGGGAAGCAGGGATGTTCAACTTGGTGCTGTTTCAGGAGGCAAGGCTGGCACACACATACTGCTCTTCAGCTCACCCGCCAAAGGACACCACGTCATTCTCTTGGAGCACCCTGCACGCGCACCACAGCCAGGCAGGCAGAAAGGGAAGCAAGTCGATGAGAACGCAGGAGCACATCCAACAAACCAACGTAGTTGGTTTGTTACCACAACAACCGCTGAAACCGTAAGCTCACCTCCTGCTGCCAGGCTCGATTTGCTGGTCGTTGACGTAAGTGCCATTGACGGCGCGCAGATCCACCAGCTGCAGCTGACCCGCCACCACATCGAGCTCCGCGTGCCATCGCGACACCTGCAATGAGGCCGCAGCAACAAAGGGTCAGAATGGCTGGCCGGCTGGACACCTGGCTGCATGGCAAGGCGAAGCAAGGTAATCGTAAAGGGCCGGACATCGCTGCCGCTGAGCACGCACCATGTTGACCAGCTTGTCCTGCAGCCGTCTGTCCTCGGGGGCAGCATTGTTGAGTCTCATGGGAGAGACCGTGTTGCCCTCCACGCGCCCCACCGACACACTGCCGCCCTGGGCAGTGGCAAAGGCCTGCTCCAGCCGAACGTCCACGGCGGGGACAGGGTGCAACGCCACCAGCATGGCTGCCTAAGTTGACTTATGAATGTGGACTGCCTGTGGCACGGAAGAACACAGACAAGGGCGCGGGTGGGCTGGGCGCAGCAGCGGGTGGGCTGGGCGCGGCGATGGCGCAGGGCCCAGCGTCTAACCGCAGCACCAATCCGACGCCCTCTTGTCGGAATGACTAAGACAAGAGGCAAGGCTGGCTGCGCAAGCACTCGCCTTTCGGTCGAGTTCGAGAGGCCGGGAGCAATCTGCACGTCAGGCCGGGCTCATCCAGCCGCCATGGACGCGCGGCGAGGAGCAGGGCCTGTATACAGGCAGAAACAGCAGACAGCTCGGCCGGTTTAGAAGGGCGCGGTCTCTAGCCGACCGAGAAGGAGGAGAAGAAGAAGAGTGCTTAAGCGGAGGAGCATGCGAGCCTCGCGCCGAGCGACTCGGCGCGGGGCGGGACGGTCTATGTACTGCGCCAACAATGCATCGCAGAAACGTCCGTTGTTTGCTTCTTTCCCTTCTGCCCAGGCAGTACAGACGCAGTAGATGGACGCCAGTGCATATTGCAGGAGTTGGCGGCGCCCGTTACAGCTGGCCGCCCCGCCCGCCCCGCAGCCGACGCTTGCCACCCGCCGTCGGGGGATGCAGCCCCTGCACAGCCACAGATCCTTGCCGAAGATATTTCTGACAACTGGTCATGTGGTTGCTTTCACAGGCACCAGGATACATCAAATACATGCTTCCCCTCAACACCCGCCCATCCCAAGTCGGTCGCTCCTACTGACGCGCATTTTCAATCATCTTCATGCGATCGCGCAGCGACAGCCTGGGCGCGCCACCACCCTCTGCAGCCTCTTGTGCGGGTGGCTGCTCTGGTGCAGGCGGCTGCTGTTGGCACACAGGCGACTTGGCCAGAGGTGCAGGAGGAGGAGCGATAGCTGGAGCTGGGGCCGCTCGCCCCGCACCCCGCGCACTCTGGCCATCTCGAAAGAGGGCATCGAAGAGCGAGGCATTGCCTGCTGCAGCATTGCCTGCTGCAGTCGCCTGCGTGAATGGCATGGTGAATGGATGCTTCAGTCATTGCGATGTGCGCTGTCGATCAGCGCAACAACTGCTGGCTAGCTACAAAATGTCACTCACCTTAAGCTCTCTCCCCTGTGCATCAGCTGCTCCAGGAGGCCGTTCACCTGCCGCTGGCAGTGGCAGCTGGCCCACCAGCTCAGCTGGCGGCACTGCGTTGTGCAACAGCCGATCCAGCATGCCGCCTCCAGCCAGAAGGGTGGCAGCCACAGCAGGTGCGTCAGGAACCAGCTGCTGCGAGCTGCCCAAAGCAGCAGCGCTGTTCGCCACCGTTGTGCTGGCTGGCAGCGCCTCCATCGCTGCCTGAAGCCCAGCCTCTTCCTCCTTTATAAAAGCCGCCGCAGCAGCTGGAGTTGTCTGCGGTTTGCGCTGAAGCTTGATGCCGCGCCCGCCGCGCCTGCTAGGCTTGCTGACGCCAGCACCACCAGCGCTGCCAGCGACTGGCTCCTCCTTCATGGCAGCACTGCTGGCTCCACCGCCTGTACGCTCTATCTTCGCTTGGGTGGCTGCGGCAGGTGCCTGCAACCGGGCACGACGGGCCGAGTCGGAAGCTGCTTTGCCGCGCCTGGCCGGGATGGTCTTGCTGGCTGTGGGGTGCGCCCCATCCGAGGTGCTAGGCTGTTGCGGCAAGTGTAGGAAGGACTCCCAGGGCCACCCATCAGGGTTGTCGAGATTGGCCACGTCCAGCAAGAAGGCTGTAGCAAAGCAGACACAAAAAAGGGGTGAGTGAAGCGCCCGCGAGGCAATGCCCAGCAGGACGCATCACTTCCTCTCGCAACACCACAGCTACCTGCTTCAGGCGGAAGCTTGGCCGTGCCCATCTGCCCCGCTGCCGCTCTGTTCTCTGCCTCGTCCAGGCAGCGGTGCACCCATCTGCAAGACAGCCAAGACATCCTTGTGTCCTGCCCTTTCCAATGTGGCAGGGCACAGCATCGGGCAGGCAGGCCTGATGGCCATCAACACACATCAATGCGGCATCTCCTCCAGCCGGCCAAACCAGAGGGGCACACCTGTCGGTCTCCAGTTGTATGCTGCCCGTGGCCAGCCCCAGCTTCAAGAGGGCAACAGCTGGTGGCCCTCCCGCCTGGTCATCCACAGCACGCAGCAGTGCCTGCGGTTCCACCGCCGATGCTGCTCCTGTTGAGCTGCCTTCATCGGTTGCCACCACCGAAGGCGCCCTGGCCAACACCAGCCCCAAGACGTGCGTCACGCTTTGCCCCAGCGCCACTGCCAGTGCGCCGCCCATGATGCGGAACTCCGCAGCCACAGCTGCTGCCTGCAGTTGCTGCAGCCGCGCTTGCGACGCGGCACCCGCCAGTAAGATGGATTGGACACTGGGGACAAGCCGGCGCTGGCTGTCACCATCAGGTTGCCTGATGGCCTTGCCATTTCCCAGGCGCAGCAGCACGGCGCTGAAGGGGCGCAGGCAGGAAAAGCGGGGGTCAAGCTGCCCGATGGCCGCCAGCTGTGCGTCCAGGTAGGAACCCACCGCACGACCCGCATCCGCGCTTCCCAGCCGCCGGGTCAGTTGGCGCTGTGCCTGCATGCACGGTACAGCGCATGGACGTGTGCTAAACTCACTCACTCCCGCACCAGTCTTGCACTTCATAAATCGCGTCCCGGAGCTCAATCTCTGATGTTCAATCTCCGATCCAGCATCAAACAATACCTAACATCCTGGGCCACACCTCGCACCTTTGCCACCTGCTCCTCGTTGCTGTCCTCAAACTCTGAGGGATGCGCCAGCCCCTCCGCCAATGCGGCAGGATCCACAGCACCGGGGCGCACTGCGCGGTGCAGCAGGTTGTCGACATCTCCCTCGTCCACATCTGCGGACGATAGCATATGTGGCTAGGTCAGTAGCTGGCAATCTGGCAGCCATAAGCAACCTGGAAAGGGAGGAGAGTCCCTGCCATGCGCACCTGACATATAGGAGTCGCCAAGGCTATCCACATCCGGATTGGCCTGTGGCAGGGGGGCAAAGCCCGTGGGTAACATCACCTGGAATAAGAGCCAGGAGTCTGGAGGACTGAAAGATGCTGCACACAGCAAACACGGCACGCTGCTCACGATGAGGTTGGCGCGGCTCATGTGGATGTAGTAGCGAGGCCTGAGCGGCACGCGGCGCTTCTGGCGATCGCACGCCACCAACCAGTCAATGCTGATCACGTCTCGGTCGTGCTCCTTGTGCGCCTTGACTTTGTTATCCTCACGGCCTGATGGCATCGGGCACAGATAGCTAGTTTGCGACAGGCGCTCACCAAAGCCTGCTGGGCCATGTCACAAAAACGTGGCCAGCGACGTACCAGCCAGAATGTGGGTGACACCAGAGCCCTCTGTAAACATGAAACGCGTCTCGCCCCCCAACTTCTTCACGATCTCCTCCAGCTGCCGCTTGCTGCAGCAAAACTTCACGAGTACGCATGATGCACAGCAACCCTACTCCTCACTGCAGGGCAGCATGTGCCACATCTGGCACTGCACACATGCTGGGCCTTATCAACTCACTTGTGTTCTCCATAGTTGGCAAAGGCAATGTGGCAGCCCTCCAGCACGCTGCTCTCCACCTCCACCTGCGGCAGCAGCGGGGAGCTTAACAGGAAGCCAGCCATGCCCATCAAGCGTGATGGCAGCTGCAAGCAGCCCCCTACCTGTGACAAATCTGTTGGTCGGGCAGCAGCCACCACCTCGCGGCCCCGCAGGCGCTTGGCAGCCGGCCCCTTGTCGCGCTTGGTGGTGCGGCGCTTCTTCCCAGTGTCGCCATCCTGCATGCTCACCGCCAGGCGGTTGGGATATGCTGGGCAAAGGTAGTGGCGCATCGTGGCGCACGACCACATAGGGTCCAGCTCTCTTCACGGTACGATCAGCCTCCAGCACCTGTCCCTTCACCCAGTCGATGTTTTCATCTTTCTTCTTCTGCTCCTCCACCCTTCCCTGCAAATCTTTAATGCTGCTGACAATGGTGGCCGTCTTGTCCCACCTGCAGGCATGCGGTGCAACCACAGGGACGGTGGAGGAATGGCATCGTTGGGCATGGCAGGCCTATATTTGCCTTGTCCAAGTGCACCTGACAGAGTGGACCTTTGGGAACCGCAGCGAGTAGCCCGTTTTGAACTGTGTAGAGCGAATAGTCCGCAGATCGGCACTGATTTGGACCACCACGCTCTCCTTCGGGTCGCTGATCCACACTTCAGGCTTCTCCCGACCCGTGACGCTGCAGATCAGGAAAGTGCCAAATTTAGAAGGACGGACCCTGCCGCAGGAAGTTGCACGCAGTCCGTGGCGTGGCTCTGGATGCCGGTCATGTGGCCTGACCTGTAGAAGCACGGCGGCGGGTGCTTGCTGGCATCGATGCACAGCGGCTCAATCTGCCGGTGCACCGCCTCCCATTCACTTCTGTCCGTACCAGTGCCCACCTGTGGACAGGCTGGTGCAGGCTTTGGGAAGAGCATTGTGGGGTTCAGTTGCTTGCATCCTCAGGCCAGTGGGGTCAACCTACTTTGCAAAAACTCGTCCAGGAGACCACCTGCTGGCCAGCTGGTGGGTCGTCTGCCAGGGCCAGCAGGTACTGCGTGTAGTGCCCGCCACGCCCTCCCTTGCCCCCCCTGCAGCATAGCAGCAGTGAGGGGAACAAACGCTCAAGGCAGACAATGCCACAGGCAAGCGCAGCGTGCAGCTGCAACAAGGAAAATGTCGCGAGGACCTGAGGGAGGCTCAAACGACGATCTAAGTTGCTCACCACGCCCCAATCACCAAGCAGTCAAGCTCGATGTTTGCTATGTAGTCAGGCTTCACCCTGGAGGCGAAGGCAGCGACGAAGGAGACCAGGCAGCATTAACATGCCTAGGAAAATGGCGATGCACAACGGGTCGATGCCCACACCACAGTGGCGCAGGGAAAGTAGCAACACTCGATGCCAGCCTCGGCACTTACTTGAGCCAGTTGTTTGAGTGCCGGTCATTGGACACCCATACACTGTCCAGGGCCTTGATGACAATGCCCTCCTCCCTCAGGCGCACAATCTGGAGATGCATGGGAGAGCGCAATTGACCACATCAAAACAACTCTCGCAATCCTTGTTGAAGCATGAACGCGAATGGGCAAACATTGCATTCTTAAAAAATCCCTTCCAGCCCAGATTCACCTCCTGGAGCATCTGAGAAATGTCCTCCTCCGTGCGGCCGGTGCGAGAGGCGAGGATGGATCCAAAGTGTGTCCTGTCTGGAAGCAGCGCCACCACTCTTCCGCACACGCAGCTGCCAGCCAGCGGTTCTGCAACACAGTCAACTTTACCGCTGACAGCAGGACATTATGCATGCATCAACCATGCGGGGGAAGATGTGAAGAAATCTCAAGACTGGCAGCCTCCCTGGTCTGTTGGAGCAGCCCACCTGCTGGAATTCCTGGCACAACCTTGTCTTCCAGCATCTTGTGACGCTCCCTCAGCGGCATGTCAATCACCCCACCCTTGCCGTTGTGCAGTATGTCAAACGTGACATACACCAGCTCCAGGTCCTGAACGGCAGGAGGCACCAGACAATGACTGTCAAAGGCTGTCACAAGGCCAAGCTGCCCCCGAACCAAAATCTCACCCCTATCTGCGGTGCCTTGTAGTCTTCATCATGGATGGCAGCATCTTCCTCCATCTCATTAAACTGCAAGCAGCAAGCACAAGCGGGGAAGGTGGGGCTGCTCAGCACGCCACTCGCTGCACAACAAGCCGGGACGACGATGGCGGCGAGAGGCAGTGGCGCACATCGAGCACATCGCCACGGTGCTTCTGCTCCAGGATGGCACTAATGAGTGGCTTAAGGCTTCCGAAGGGCTCAAACACCTGCCTGCGGGCATGTTTTCCACGGCAGAGCCCATAACTGGGTAAGCAACATTTCTAGATGGCAAAGCGACACATTCTTGCTGTTTCTATCCAGCAGTGTGCTCACTCACTCCTTCTTGTTCCACACAATCAGCTCGCCATCTAGTACGCATGGGCCCCTCGTGTATCGCCGGATCATGTCGTCCACCACGCTGCAAGGAGACAAAGCAAACAATTTAAACAGTGAGGAAAAGAACAGGCGGGCACAGCAAGGGATTGACACAGCGACCATCTTCACCTGTAGTTGGATTTCTCGCCATGCTCGATGGCCCGACGCGAAAAGTACGAGATTTCGTCCCGGGGGCCGCGGTGCACCTGTATGCGCTCGCCTGCATGGCGAGGAACAGCAGCAAGAGGTGCCTATCACCAGCCTGAAACATGCAACAGGCCCCAACCAGCGACCCTGACGGCATCCCCAGTCTGTTTAACAGCACGCACGCCTGCCCCTCCCAACCCGACAGCCTTGCCCAAAAAACGGCCCGCCCACCCACCATCCAGCTTCATCTCCACCACAAACTCCTTCAGCTTCCCATCCTCGTCGTGCATGGCCTTGCTAAATGCCCACTTCACACTGCCAGTCATCTTCAGCAGTTGGGGCCGCACCGCCTTGCCGGGCTGTATGCTCTGCAGAGGAAGGCAGGCAGGGTGAGGTGGGAGGCAGCAGGCTAGATGAAGTTGGCCACATGCCTCCATCACGAGAACCCATTAAATTTGTTGCACAGAAGCAACAACAACAAAACCAGCAAGACTCCCAGGCAGCGCTGACACGCACAGTGGCATAATTTTCGCTGGTGGCAACCATCTCGTTGAAGATGTGCTCCAAATCCATGCCGCTCTGATTGTAGTATGTCTCCGCGTCTTTGTGCCAGGTTTTCAGCACCTTGCCCTCCCCAACGTTGATCTGCAGGCAGCGTTGGCACCAACTTGGGCTTCAAACTTGGCAGGCAGCGCCAAACCCTGCTGCTGAACACCTAACCTTGAGATTCTTGAGGATAATTTGGACAATCCAGGCCATTTGGTCGGGTGAGGTGACCTGCGCAGCGAGACGCAAGACGTGTACACCACAGCAGGCGAGAGCAAGCGAGCAGCGAGCTGGCTCCACAACGCGGGGTTCGCACCTGCATGAGCCCCCTCAGTATATTGGCCTGCTCATTGAAGTTGCCAGCCGCCTCCACAAGCTTGTCCAGTGCCTGGTTCAGCTGGCCCACCTTGAGCGTCTTGAGCCTGCCGGTGCCATCGGTAGGGTCAATCATGCAGTACACATTGAAGATGTTCTGTAGCGAAGGACAGGTGCGCGGGGCGCAGGGCCAGCACAAGCTTTGTCAGACGGGATGCCTAGCTCCTAGCAACAGGTACATGCAGGACCTCAGGGCAGACCCTAGTGCGTTGGCCAGTGCAGCAAGGCGTACTTCCTGCAGGACAGCGGCAAAGTCCCCTGCACTCTTGGACCCCGGCCGCTTCCAGTTGCGGATGGTGGAGGCCTCCTTCGACTTCTTGTCAATGCCTGCCGCCTTAAGCAGCACATTGATGAGGTTGGACTCCAGCAGCTTGTAGTTGCCACGCTTGTTGTCCAGCTGCATGGAGGGCCGGCGCTGGTCGCTGAGAGCGCAAGATGGCATGGTGCACAGAAGCGGCATCCACGGCAGCCCAGCGATAACAGGTGGTTCACCAGCACCGCGCTGCCAGCACCCACCGCCGGCAGAATCAGCCGGAATACCGCAAAAGCCTGGTGGGATTCCTTGTCGATGTTCACGTCTATGAACCGCCTGCACAGAGGGCGCCACCTTGACCAAAAAGATTTTAGAGAGTAGACGGGGCAGCAAACGCAGCAAAGCCCGGCGGTGCGGCGCCACCCACTTGACATGCTGACTGCGGACATCTCCTCCCTTGCGAGCATTGCCCAGGAGTTTCCGGCAGCTCGAGAAGAAGTTGACCAGCGTCTGAAAGCTCAGGTCGTTGGGCGGCAGAAGCATCACTTGTGTTTTGACTGCAAGCAAGTTGGGAGCATTCGGGTCAGCGGTTCAAGCTGGCGGCAGTGGGTGCCGCCGGTGGCGGCGGCGCCCCGCGGTGCTAAGAGCCTCTCGGGTGCGCCTCGGCAGTGCAAAGGAACCTCTGTGGGGTCGCAGCGAGCCCTGAGGTTTGGTGCTGCAGCCCCGGGCCGATCGATCGCTTGCCTCCGTCGAGCAGCCCCGACCTGGGACTGTATGAACACAGGCGAGATGTGCGCAAAAAAAAATACATGCAGGGTCTAGCCCCCCTGCTGTTTTTTGGGAGGAGCGCTAGGCGCCTCGCCAAGTGGCGGAGCGCTGCGGCGCTGCGCCCCACTCTCACTGCGGCGTTCACCCCATTCTTTAGACGTCTATTGCCGTAAAAGGAGGTCGACTGTATATATTTTTGGTACACTGCTACAGATAGCTATGGCTGGTGGTCTCCCGTTGCTCTGTGCCGACATGCTGCCCGCCCGACAGCTGTCTGCCTTCAGCAGCTTGATTCCTCAGTCAAAGGCAGCGCGCCAACTCCTGGAACTCATTCTTGCAGCGCACCAGCCCCTCCACCCTCTTGGCCATCGCGTCACGGCTGGCCTCCAGCGCGGACAGCACCCCCGCCGCTGCAGCAGGACACATGGGAGGCCATCAGATGGATGGTAACATTGCAGCACTTGAACGGGGCAGCCAGACATGGGTAGCAACGCAGTGATGCCAGCCACCTGTGAACAGTTTCATGAAGTCCTCGTCACGGCGCCCCAACAGCTCCACGCTCAGCTCTGCTGCCAGCTGCGTGCCGACAGGCTCCAAAAAGGCACTCTTCAGCGTGGCGGGGGCCGCCTGGCACGCCACTGCCTGCCGGATGCGGCCAAACAGGCGGGCAGCCTGCACACCAGGGAGTGTGCATGGTGATTTTGAGCTTCGCAGCACCAAACTCGACAAAAAAAACTGCTTGCATCCCCGCTCGGCAGCCTGCATTTACCTGGTGGCACACGTTGAGGTAGGCACTGCCGGCGGAGGCTGCTGGGGGCACCATGGCGGTGCGTGGCACCTTGGCCACCCTGCCCTTGCCCGGCGAGTCCTCGTCCACATTGCGGCCCGCTGCCGCCGCCAACGCCGCACGCCGCAGGTGGTCGGGCTTGTTCACGGTGAGCACGTCGGGGCTGGGTGTCTCGGGCACAGTCTGAAGCGGATGCAGGACGCGGCGCAGCTGTTGAAGCGGAGGCGCAGGTTCCAGCGCTACTCACTCTGCCTTGGCAGCCAGCCAGCAACACTGCACCCATGTGGGCTCATTCCTTCCCACCTGCTGGGTCTCTGCGAAGGGGGGGCGGCCCATGGCCGGCTCGTTCTCATCCGCGCTGTGCGGAGCGGCGCCCTCACTCCGGTCATATACCGAAGGCGGCTCATCGAAAGTGCTTGATTCTGCACAGCGACAAAAGGAGCAGGCACACGGCCCTCGACTCCCCGCTTCATCTCGCTCCTGATCGCAGCATGCCTTCCTACCTGCCACCAAGCCAACGGCGTATTCGCTCGTGGCTGTCTCCAGGTGGTGGAGCAGGATGCCCTTGCACCGCTCCTCCAGCGCATGCACAAAGGCCTGGAAGGCGCTGCGCAGGGCGGCATGGAACGCCACGTAAGGCCGCAGGCGCTCATAACCTGCAAGCGAGGGCAGATGGCTGGTTGACAGCTTGAAATGGATGGTAAACTTAATGCAGCACAGTTTCGCACCCCACCTGACCCGCGCTGCAGCTGCGCCTGCTCTGTCGCGATGTCGTAGGCACGCTTGACCACCGCGCCCAGCCGCGTACAGGCAGAGTTGAGCAGCGGCTCTAGCACCTCGCGGGCTGCCCCCCGAGCCAACTCCTCTGCCGCCATGCCTACCCCACCGCCATTCCTGCATGCCGGCCATTAGGCAGCCGCATTGGAATCAGGTTACAGGCAGCAGGAACTGCAACCAGCAGCAGCGGCACAGCAACATCGATACCTCACCTCATGCTCCCCTCACACCTGCCCTTGTATGCCAGTAGTATGTTGGCTACGCGTTCACGCGAAACTACACCAAATTCCAAGCATTTTGCAGCTTCTACGAACTCTTGCACGCACCGCTCAAATGCCGCGCCGCCGCACAGGCGCAGGCCCGCATTGGGCGGGCGTACTACTGCAGCGACGCCCGGCCACTGCTTGCCAATAGGGGGGACAAGAGGCAGCACATGCAAGGTTAGTGAGCATCCCCCTGGCAACCTGAGCTCGAATGTACAGCAGAGTCCGCAGCAGCTCGCCAGAATCCCCTCCGACAGACAATTGCCAGTCCATGTTCACCCACGTTGGCCCCAGCGATACTCGACCGCTCCTCCTCTGTGGTCCAGCCAAAATGCATGGGGTCGATGAGCGGCGATCCCTCCATCATACTCGATACCTTGGTAGCAATGTTAAGCACATAATGTATTGCTGCAGAAAGCAGGGTAACAGAGCCCCTTGTCCTGCTGTCTCGTAGAAAAATCTCTAAACTCATTAAGCACTGCTCTCCTCAAGCTTGCTGCTGGGTACTCCGATACACCACACCAGCACAATATGCCCACAAATCACACCTGCCCGTCGCAGCGACACCACGTCCGCCGCCTCCTGCAGCTTCTTGTCTGCTGCAATAAGCTCCTTGGCCACCGACTCACACCGCTCCTGTAGCAGGGCCAGCGTGGCGGGTGCCGAATCCCGATAGCGATTTGCGAGCTCCTCCTCCAAAAACCTGGAATGATATGATGAAATACGAAATGATATGATGAGATATGTCTGCCATATCCTTCAGGCGGTGCAGTCTGCACTGGGCGTCGGCCCCTGACCTGCGCAGGTTGCCAAAGCCGATGCGGGCACCAAAGCGCTCCTCGTCAAACCCGCCCGTGATGCTCTGCCGCAGGTGCTGCTTCACGCCGCCATCCACCTCCTGGATTGCGCGCCGCCAGTCGGCACTGCTGGCTGAGCCAGAGGCGCGGTCCTTGGGCAGCGCCACGAAGAAGGGCTTGACTGTGGGAGGTAAATATCCACTTGCAGAGAAGTATTTATCCACCTCCCACCGCTCATTGAATTCCTGCGAGCGCAAACGAGCCGGGGGAGCAGGAGACAGCGGCGTAGCATGCCGCAGCATGAACCGAGCGAGCCAGAGCATGCCATGCAAGAGATGCAATGCGAAGTGATACTTCCCGACAAATGCAGCACAAACTTCGCAAAACTTGGCGTGCAGCCCCGCACCTTGAGCCTGTTGTCGAACTTGCTCGCCACCATGACTGTGCGGGTGTAGTGAGGATCGACCTCCTGCACAATGTGCATCCACAGGCTGCTGCACCACTCCACGCTGCTCTGCTGCAGGAACAGGATGAGGCGGTGCGGCGGGGCACACTGCGCCTTCACCATGGCCATGATGTCGTCGGGGGTGCTGTCCGCCTCGCCTTTGCGCGCCTGCAGCACATAGAGCGAGGCGGGGCAGGGCGAGTGGAACAGGCATCGGTGAATGCTGATACCTTCCCATTCGCGGCGCCCAGCTGCAGAAGGCTGCGGGGCACTCCAGTCAGCAACGCAGCAGCGCACCTTGAGAATGAAGCCCGGTGTGTCGACAAGCGTCAGATTCGGGGCATACGCAAACTCCGCCCGCATCACGATGGGCTGCACAGCAAATGGGGGTGCAGAAAACGAGGGAACATGCGCCAGATCTCCACTATCATAGCATCATCACCGAACAGGCGCGACTCCTTATTGGAAGAATGACTTTGACGACCTGCTGCACATCACCAAGTGGCTGCTGCGTCTACCCATTGCAGCAGCTCAAGCCACCCACCTTGCTGCTGACGGTTGCGCCCAGCTTGCGCAGGTGCACCTCGGTGCGCTCCCGAATTGCCTCGGCGATGCTTGCTTCCGGGATGATGGCGCTGTAGTCATCGCCATCTTCCTCCTGCAGCCGGCACCGCGGCTCCAGCGCCGACGGATCGTGCACCTGTGCCCCACGCACAGCAGGCACGACAGGGATCAAAGTATACATCGCATCAAGGATGTGTGCATGCGTTGGCTCTTTATTCAGGGCGGGGCATGCTGGGGCAGCCAGCGCTCACCATCTGCACAATCAGCGGCCGACGTGTGCCCATCTCCACCTCCTTGACGTTGAACCGAAACTGCAGTGAACGACGTGGGTGGTGGCTGAACAGGGTGAACCGGACACAGCTTTGGGCTCCTGACAGTTCGCCATCCCCCACCAGGGCCCTGTCGGCATCACGCTCCTGCCGGCACGCAAACTGCGACAGCCCCGGCGCTACCCACCCCCAGAAAGGCTTCGAGGAGGCAGCTCTTGCCATCCGACTGCCCGCCGATGCACACGATTTCCGGGATGGGCAAATTCTCGCCAAAGGCCACTGCCGCCGCCTGCAGGCGTGAGTACGCCTCGTAGCGAATCTTGCTGGCAGGGTTGTCAAAGATGTCATGCGCCTGGCTCTGCCTCGCCATTGTGCTGCCTCGCTTTGGATGCGTCAAAGCTGAATCGGCCCTGCAACAGAGTGGCAGCAGCGCAGGCGAGGCAGCGAGCAGTTTGGGAACGCCGGCAGGCGAGCGGCGGGGCGGCGGCAGCTGAGAATGAGCGGCGCGGCTGAGAGGCTAGCACGCAGGGGGCCCTGACGCTTGCCTGATGCGGATGCTGTTGCCTCAATGCCACCAGGCGCCCTGAGGTTTGAGAGAGGTGCGACTTGCCAGCGCCTGACAGCTGAAGGCTTTGGCCGCGTCGTAGGCCAGGGAGCGGGTAAGAACACGGCGCTGGGCCCCGGGTCTTTATCGCTGCGGAGAATTGTGCAAAGCGTAGCACGGTCAGCAGCCCGAGGAAGGAATCTCCCTTCCTTCCGAAGGAAGCCCTGAAAGGAATTGGCGCAACTGCAGAATCAAGAGCAATCACATTCACATACGCGATGAGTGCAGATGAGTTATGGGCGGAGCTGAACAGGCAGCCAGTCCGGCGCGCAAGGAGCGGCGTCAGCCTTTCCGGGCTGTCGGGCCTGCCAGGCATCACATCACACGTTCGCACTTACGGCAAGAACAGCGGGGGGGGCGCCCAGCCCGCAACACCAAGCTTCATCTGGCAGCTTGGGCAGGAGGAATCTAAACAGCAGCAGGAGCGCATCGGGAAACCAGCACACCTGCACCATGCACTGCTGGTGCGCGAGCGCCAATATGCGCTGCCGCTGCCGCTGCTGCCGCTGCCGCGCCGCTGCCACTGCCGCTGCCGCCCGCTTCTTGGGGCGTTGACCGCCTTTTGGGGGGTGCGCCGGACCAACAGACCTCCCCCTTGCATGCCAGAGACCTTAAGAAGTGCCCTGGCAAGCAGGCTCAGCTCCCAGCCGCCGCAACCTAAGCAAAGCACCGTGTGTGCTCTGCAGACCTCCCTGCAAAGGGACATCAATGGGCTGAGCAACCCTGACCGCTCCACACGGCGCAGAGCGGTGCGTGCAGCGCTGAGGTCGGGTGGGGTTGCCCTGAACTGGCCCGCTCCCCTGGTTGGGTCTTCTCCCCTTGCAGCCCACCTGCTAGGGGTCGGCCTCTGCAGGTGGAGAAGCTGCACGTGGCCCTGCTGGGAAGCACCAGCAGCGTGTCGCCCGAGGCGCTGCAGGCAGTGGTTGCCGGCCCGCTCCTGGTGCCACTGGTGCGCCAGCTGGCCGACCCGGCGGAAAAGTGTCGCGAGCTTGCTGTGTCCTTCCTTGCGGCCGCGTTGCAGCGCCTGCCACAGCCTGCCGTGCTGCTGCCTGTACTGGTGCCTGCGCTTGCGGAGCGCGTGGGCATCCCGCCGGTCCAGGAAGGCTCAGAGGAGATGCGCCTAGCACTGGCAGAGCTGGTGGCGGGGCCGCTGCTGGAACGCGCGGCGTGCCTGTTCCCTACAGGCTTGCTGCCGCCGCTGTGTGCCACGGTGTGCTGCCAGCTGCAGGACGCGTACGCAGATGTAAAGAAGGTGGGAAGATGTGGGTAGGGCGGGATTAGAGGGTAATGAAACGGGGCCTGGGAGACCCGCTGCCCTGCTGCCATATGCGGTGGCTGTGATGCCTGCATCAAGCGGAGATCCAGGGTGCCACGGCAGGCTCCCTGCTGGCCCTTGCCCGAGTTGCAACCCACAGCCTACCCCCTGTGCTTTCCCCATGCACGCTTCAGGCGGCGTGCAATGCTGTGACCAGCCTGGCAGGCCTGGCCTCGCCTGATGCTCTGCTGCCGGCATTGAAGGACCCGCTGGTGCTGGCCCTGGCGGTCAACTTGGGGCACCAGCACAGCCGGGTGCGGCTGGCCAGCCTGCAGGCATTGCATGCCATGGTGCAGCACGGCGTGCCGCTGGCGCTGATGCAGGAGAGCGTGCTGCCGGCAGTGCGGCCGCTAGCGCACGACCATGCCCCCGCTATTCGGGCAGTGCTGTTCAGCTGTATGGCTCAGTGGGCTGGCAGCCAGCTGCCAGGCAGCGGTGCTGTTGATGCGACTGATGACGGCCGGGCCGCCAACCAGTGTCGCAAATTCCTGCCGCTGCTGCTACCGCTGCTGCTGCTGGGCGTGACGGATGAGGTGGAGGCCATCCGCAGCGACACCTATGGCCAGCTGGAAGTCCTTGGCGCCCGCATGGCCAGCCAGGTGGGTGGCGGCGCTTTGCAGTGTCAGCCACACGGGCCTGTGGCCGTCTTGCACATTGATGTTTGCGGCAGGACCTGCTGGGCAGCAGGCTGGTGCGCCGACAGCAAACAGCCCGTGGATCACCCACAGCGCATGGGCGGTTGGTTTGGCCCTGCCATAAGGCCACAGCTGCGGGCTCGGTCGCCCAGAGCCCCCGCAGCTGCCACAAGGCCACAGCAGCCGCAACGCCCCGTGGAACACCTGCAGCACCGGCAGCGTTGTTGGGGCGGGGTTGTGGCCACACCACACCACAATCATCTTGGAACATCTTGTATCCCCCTGTTGTTTTCCAGGAGGCCTCGTCCAGCAAGCTGCCCAGCTCCATGGCGGTGGACCAGCTGCAGCCGCTGCCGCTGCCCGGTTACTGGCACCCCTTCTCGTCTGGTCCACCCTCGCTTGCTGCACGCTGGGTGGTGCAGTCGCAGCTCACCGGCCTGCTGCAGCAGGCCTTGTCGGAGCTGTGTGAATGGACAGGTGTGCGGGTTACTTCCACATGAGCAGCTCCCCCTCGTGCAACTAACCTGCAGTGGCAGTTGGGGCTGGCTGTCTGATTTTCAACTGAGCTCCTAGCTGTCTGATTGTCAACGGAGCTCCTGGTGTGTTTCCTGGCTTCGCTGCAGCCAAGTTACGTGCATCTGCGGCACGCTTGCTGCATGCGACACTCATCTACGCCGAGGCAGAGGTGCTGCCGCTACTGCCAACAGTATTGAACGCACTGCGCGGAGCAGTGGCAGACGATGATACTCGTGAGTGGCCAAGCATTGGCAACGCAGCTCCATCATCCCTGCACCCCTTGTTTGGGCCTGGGCTGTGGTCCTTGTCAAAGCAATGCATTCGTATAGTGCTCCTCTGCATGCTGCAGGTGTCGCCGCACATGCTGTGGGCTGCGTGCATGTGTTGGGTGTCAGCCTTCCAGCTAGAAACTGGATGCCCTTGGCAGCAGAGGGTGTTGCCGCGAGCCAGCAAAGTGCTGCACAGCGCACAGCAGCTTTGGTTGTGCTGGCGGCTCTGCTGCATGCCAGCTGCAAGGCAGGTGCTGACGTGGACGTGCAGAACATGCAGCTGGCTGCCTCGGCACTGGTCAAGGCGCAGCAGGCAGTGCCAGTGTCGGCAAGCGGAGCAGATGAGGCCGGGCTGCAACAGCAACTGCAGGCAGCGTGCTCCAACCTTGTGCACTGGGCAGGTCGCAGCTCGGTCGCAGTGGCACCGCAACTGTTCCAGGTCTTGCTCCATCTATGGGCGGCGGAGCATGATAGCCAGGTGGCAGCGCTGACCGCTGATGTAGCTGCCAAGTCGAGCACAATTGATGTAAGTGGCGGCCTCACGGCAACAGCAGCTCTTGCCCAGCTGGCGGCTGCTCTGGACAGGCCATCGCCAGCCGACCTCTGCGGGCAGTATGGGCTCAGCCTGCTGCAACATGGCATTCAGGTGGGTTGGTTACAGGGATGTGTCTGTCTCACGGTTATTCTGTGAAAATGGTCAGTAAACACGGCAGCAATGGCTCAGTGCTTAAAGACCCCAATTTTGCGTCCCCTGGCCATCACAATGCCGCAGGGCCACGAGCGGTGGACACATACGCATCCCGACTGGCGCTCTCTGTCGGCGCTTCTCAGGCTGTGCAACAGCAGTGCACTGTTGCAGCTATGGCCACAGGCGCTGCCAGCGCTGTCAAACATAGCGACCAGCCACGAGCGCGACCCCCGCATCAGGCTGGAGCTGTTTCAACTGCTGACAGCACTGCTGGAGGATGGCAGCAAGGCTGATGCCTGGTGGCAGGCGGAAGCAGGGCAGCTGATGGTGCGCCACCTGCTGATGCCTGGCCTGGTGTGGAGGGCAGGCCGGGTGCCGGCAGCTGTGCGCTATGCGGCGCTCACCGCTCTGGCCATGCTGCTGTCCCGGCAGCGCCTGCCGCCAGACCAGCTGGTGGAGGTGGCGGGCAAGGGCGGGGAGGCTGCAGCAGCCCCAGGGGCCAGCGGTGCAGGGCCCTGCGTGCCATCAGCAGCAGCAGCACGAGAAGGGCTGCTGGCGAGGGTTGCGGGTTGCCTGGACGAGGACTATGAACCAGGCACTCGCCAGCTGGCGTGCCACGTGGTGGAGCTGCTGCTGAGCTCAGGTATGGGCCAGGGCAACAATGGCACCCCTCAGGCATGGCATGCATGGCAGGACGCAGCTGTGCTGGTTGCTGCTGCTTTTAACATCTCGGCCCTTTGACCCCTCCCTTCCCTGTCCGCTCATTGTTCGCAGTCGGGCCCCAGCTCCCGCTGCACCAGCTTGAAGCACTGCAGCCCGACCTGCTGAAGCGCCTGGACGACAGCAGCAACGGCGTGCGGGTGGCATCCTGTGCCGCCCTCCGCCCTTGGCTGCGCAGCATGCTGGCGGCAGGGGGCCTGTCGGATGCCGACGCCTCGAGCCTGGCCAGCAGCATGCTGATTCATCTCAATGACCCTGATGACAGAGTGGCAGAGGCAGCATGTGCAGTGCTGGAGGAGCTGGCGTTAGCACGGATAAGCGTTGTTAGGCCTCTGGCCCAGGCTATGGCGACGCGGCACCCGCCGCCGGACACCTTCCTGGCCCGCGTGCTGGATGCCTGTGCCGTGTGAGCTGCAAGATGTGTTTTTTCCAGTTTGGCAAGAAGACGGCAAGGTTGAATTTCATTGAAGCCGGGGGCAGCAGATGGGCTGAGTGGGGCAGAAAAGCGGGGCGGATCATTGGGTAAGCATTTGGTAGGCATGATGAACAGGTAGGCCATTTGGGCAGGGCGCCAGCAACGTCCAGTTGCATCACAGAGGTTTCAGCGTTTTCAGCGCTGCGTCACTCCTCCTCGCCAGTTGGTGGCTCCTCCCCAGCCTCGGCTGGCTCGGGGAATGGCATGCCACCGCGATACGCCAGAAGTGCTTGCTCCTGGACATGGGAGGACAGGGAGGAGGAAGAACAAGGTGGGGAGGCAATGGGGCCCCGAGATTGCATGCACGGTGCAATAGGCAGCATCCCACCTTGCACTTCGCTTCGATTTGCACGTCGACTTTGGCTTCCATGCCGTGCAGGAAGATGGGACCATGAACATAGTCAGAGTGCGCGTGAGGCTTGCGGCCCTCCTGGCTCTCGGACCAGTGTACGATGGGCCGCACGCCTGCAGGCCAGGTCATCACAGCCGCCTCCAGTGCTTCTTTCTCTGTCAGGCTGCCGGGGCAGAACTGCAGTGGGGGCCAAGGGCCACATAACCACGGGCTGCAATGGGTGTATTGGCTGCAATTGCGACATAACATCCCCATCACAACATCTCACTTTATGGTGGTGAAAGTCGAACACCAGCGGCACGCCGCAGAGTTTGTGCAGGAAAAGAAGGTCGTCCAGGCTGAAGGCGGAGGCCACGTCATCATTCTCCACTGCAGTTTGGACATACCAAAGGGGCGGCAATAAGCAGGAAGGCTGATGGATAGGAAGGGTAGCTGCCGAGCTCCTGCTCTAGACAGGAACCGAAAAAAAGACCCGATGCGCACCTGTCATGCGGGCCCTGCACCTCGAACTCAGGCGGCGGTAGTTCTGAGCCCAGCGGCGCATCGTATCCTCCTTGGAACCCAAGCTCTGATACACGCCTCCAACATGAATATTAATTTTGTTTTGAGGTGAGGGCTTGTATCCCATGAGGTCCAGGATCAGGTAGGCCTCCCGGTAAGGATGTGCCCCATGATGGGCATGATGGCCCCCCACCTGGAGGGTCATTGGGGACATCATCCTCAATCATGCATCATTCTCCCTCCCGTTTGTTCTGTTGGCATCCCAGCAACCGTAATATGCTTTCTAGGACATGAGCCACCACTTTAGGGTGAAGGTGGTTAGCAAGACCACGGCCCCCAGGCCTCTAGACGGGCCACAGCCAAAAAGATCCCGTGCAAGTAGACCAGGACAACAAGCTCCCTTCAATGTGCCAGGGCAGGCCAGGCGGCGGGGTGAGAGGGATGACAACGAGGATGAGCGAGCACCCAGCGGCTTCTTAGGCTGGGGCGACCGGCAAGGACGCAAACGTGATCACTGGGAGGCTCGGCTCGGAGCGGACGTGGATGCCTTCTTGGCCTCTCTGCCGGGCCGGGCGGCGCAGCAGCGGCAGGAGCGCCAGCAGCAGCTCCAGCAGCGGCAAGCCCAGCTGGCCAGCATGGAGCCGCTTCCTTGCCACTTAGCAGCAGAAAATGGCAGCTGCTGTGAGTTGCACAAGACGGGCAGCCAGGCAGCTGTGTTTTATGGGCCGCTCGGCGTGGTGGGCAGGCTCACGTTGCCGGT